GCAGATTCTTCTATTCTGTCTGGATTTGTAGAGTCTCCTGCATGAACTCTTATTGGCTAACTATTATTTTTCTGTACAGATTCTTTAAGCAGTTCTTGATTTACTTTCTCTTGCATCAAATGTCTTTGGGACTTTTCCGTGTGATGGGATCCTTAGGTCGAAGTATGATTGTGGCCAACACATTCGGATCCTTTGCCATGTTGGTTGTGATGGGTCTAGGTGGATACATCATTTCAAGAGGTAAAATAAGTACTTTGCAGGTACCTTTATGTATAGACATCCAAGATCCAACCTTGACGTAGTTTGTTGATTTGTACAGATAGCATCCCTCGTTGGTGGGTCTGGGGTTTCTGGGTTTCTCCCCTCATGTATTGTCAAAATGCAGTTTCTGTGAATGAGTTCAGTGGTCATTCCTGGGATAAGGTAATTATCTCTTTTATTATTCGTTGTAGTTCAAGATATATTTCAAACGTTCTAACTGTTTTTTTTTTTTTGTTTGTTTGTTCAAGCCTGTTGGGAATTCAAGACTCGGTGAAGCAGTACTGAGATCAAGGAGCTTGTTCACAGAAAGCTACTGGTACTGGATTGGAGTAGGCGTAATGGTTGCATATACAGTCTTGTTCAATGTCATGTTCACATTCAACCTTAATTACCTTCATCGTAAGCAACATATCTGCTGTATTTTTTGTAGAAGTCTATCCTAGTTAGAGTATTGCCTTGTCTTCAGTCTTCAGTTCAAATTTTAAAGCTGTAAATGATGGGCCATGCATTAAGGCAAATTATACTAATCACATTATGTTTTATTAATCAATCAGCCCTTGGAAAGAGACAAGCTGTAATTTCTAATACCGAATTCATAGAGAGGGAAAGGAAGAAGAGGGGTGAAACTGTGGTCATCCAGTTGAGAGAATTCTTGCAGCATTCAGGCTCATTGAATGGTTTGTAACTTTATATATATGTTCCATTCTTTCTTAATATTATGTGTATAAGAAACTTATGTTCTATTCTGTTTGTGACCTTACTCAAAAAAGGAAAACCATGTACACAAAGGGGGATGGTTCTACCATTTCAACCACTGTCAATGTCATTCAGTAATGTCAATTATTACGTGGATGTTCCTTTGGTAAGTACATAAGGTCCAATTTTCTCTTCAATTATCAATAAGGTTTTAGAATGTACTTGGTTCAGCAATAATTTTCTGTAATCCTATCTTGTAAAACAGGAGATGAAACAACAAGGCGTATCAGAGGATAGATTACAGTTGCTGGTTGATGTCACCGGATCTTTCAGGCCTGGTGTTCTCACAGCATTGGTGGGTGTGAGTGGTGCTGGTAAAACAACTCTCATGGATGTTTTAGCTGGTAGGAAAACTGGCGGATACATAGAAGGAAGTATATTCATATCGGGTCATCCCAAAAAGCAAGAAACATTTGCAAGAGTATCTGGTTACTGTGAACAGAATGATATTCATTCCCCGTGCTTAACTGTTTTGGAATCACTTCTGTTTTCTGCTTGGCTACGCTTATCATCAGAAGTTGACTTGCAGACTCAAAGGGTATGTGTGTCACCTGAGTTTTCTCCCATTTGAATTTTCCAGATTACTAATTAGTGAGCTAGGCTGCTGTCTTGCTTCCATTGTATAAAACTTGTTCTTGTCGGTCTTAATGAATTAAATTCCTTAGAAAGATCTGTATTGGCCATTTTTTCTTGTTGTTATTGATAAATATTTCTGGCATTCTTTTCCAGGCTTTTGTAAATGAAGTAATGGAACTTGTGGAACTCACATCGCTGAGTGGAGCGTTGATTGGTCTACCTGCAGTTGATGGTTTGTCAACAGAACAAAGAAAGAGGTTAACAATTGCTGTTGAATTGGTTGCTAACCCGTCAATTATTTTCATGGATGAGCCAACAACCGGATTGGATGCAAGGTCTGCAGCCATTGTGATGAGAACTGTGAGGAACATCGTAAACACTGGTCGAACAATTGTCTGCACAATCCATCAGCCAAGCATAGACATTTTTGAATCATTTGATGAGGTACCTTTTCTCTCTTATAACTGCCCTCGTTTCTGAAGCATATATGATGGTGATGTGTGTTTACACCTATATTTGTATCCATGGCAGCTTTTATTTATGAAGCGTGGGGGGCAAGTCATTTATGCTGGCCCACTCGGACCAAGATCTTGCAAACTTGTTGATTATTTTGAGGTTAGTGAAGTTTCAAATATAGTTATAAATCAGTTACTTTTGTTAAAATGTTATCTAATCCTTATTGTTTCGATAAATTTATAGTCAGTGGAAGGGGTGCAGAAGATCAAGCCTGGTTATAACCCCGCAGCATGGATGCTTGATGTTACTTCAATGGCAGAAGAAGCACGCCTTGATGTAGATTTTGCAGAAATCTACAAAAGCTCTCGGCTATTTCAGTATGTGCAATTTTATACTTAGTATTTAATTTTACCTGATTATGCAACATTGTTCATGATACTATAGCCTAACTTGCCCCTTCTTTTGGTTCAGGTATAACAAAGAGTTGGTTGATCGTCTCAGTAAACCACCTAGTAACTCTAAAGATATATCTTTTCCAACCAAATATTCTCGATCATTCTTTGATCAGTTCCTGACGTGTCTCTGGAAGCAAAATCTATCTTATTGGCGGAATCCTCAGTACACAGCAGTTCGTTTCTTCTACACCATTATCATCTCCCTGATGCTTGGATCGATATGTTGGAAATTTGGCTCTAAAAAGTAAACTAGTTGGACTTTTGCCTTTGTTTATCAGCCATATCTAAATGCTTTAAGGCAAAAGATATTTAAGTAATTCTGCTAACACTACTTGTTGAAATTTTGAAGGGAAACTCAGCAGGACATTATTAATGCAATGGGATCGCTATATGCAGCAGTACTCTTCCTCGGAATTACAAATGGAACAGCAGTTCAGCCTGTTGTTTCCATTGAAAGATTTGTTTCCTACAGAGAAAGAGCTGCAGGGCTGTATTCAGCTTTACCGTTTGCATTTGCACAGGTATTTCTTCATACTATCTCTGATTGTATCTTTTTTTTTCATGGAAATATTTACTAATTCTGAATTGTTGCCTCCTATGTCGATTGTGCAGGTAGCAATAGAGTTTCCTTATGTTTTTGTGCAGACAATCATTTATGCAGCAGTTTTCTACGCCATGGCTGCATTTGAATGGACAGCTTTGAAGTTTATTTGGTATATGTTCTTCGCGTTCTTCACAGTACTATACTTCACCTTTTTCGGAATGATGACTACTGCTATAACACCCAATCACAATGTCGCCGCCATCATAGCTGCTCCTTTCTATATGCTATGGAACCTCTTCAGTGGCCTCATGATCCCTTACAAGGTAATGCAGTACTAAAATCAGCTTATGGAAATGAAAATTCTGTCTTCTAAAGGTCTAAGGCATAAACAATATTTTAGTTTAAAAAAAAGGCTAAAGTTATTTATTATGGTATTAGAATAAAATTAAAAAGGCCTTTTACACTCAATTCAAGGTTGACTCGTGCCCCTATTTATATTTTACATTAACTCTGCATGGGGTGAAAATTTCTATGTATTGTTTAGTAAATAAGACTCTTTTCTTGGTGCGATAAGATGTGTAGCATTACCCTTATTTCGTAGTGTTGGAGCTTTGCTACAATACTAAAACTACGCACCACGCACCAATGTTTCATAGTTTTTTTTAGGATACTATTATTTGTATATATTTATTTTCAAGGGTGACTAACTTAAATTCCTTACAACATCAGAGAATTCCTGTATGGTGGAGGTGGTATTATTGGATCAACCCGGTGGCCTGGAGTCTTTATGGTCTTCTTACCTCACAGTATGGTGATGATAACACGCTGGTGAAGTTATCAGACGGGGTTCGCTCAGTACCTATAAGCCAACTGCTGAAAGATGGTTTAGGGTTCAGGAATGATTTTGTGGGCATTGCCGGTATCTTGGTAGCCAGTTTCTGCTTGTTATTTGCTGTCATTTTCGCTTACGCTATAAAATCATTCAACTTTCAGAAAAGGTGATAGAACACTCTACAATCAGCTCTTAAAAGAGACATGTAATGAGTTATCTGTATAGCAAATCTACATACATATAGGCCATTGATTTTATACTTTGGGATATATTACAATTTGTTTTGCAATGTTGGAAGGAAATGAATATGCATTTCAGACCCCTCCAATATCAGTAATAATAAAATTTTTCTTAAATAGTTGATGAACATTGCCAATACCCTTCCATACATGCTTTCAACTCTTCCAGAAATCCTATGCTTCGAGAATGGGAAAATCCGAAAGGCAAGAATATTGCACTTGAACTTGTAATATGAATGGTATTAAACCACAAGTTCAACCCCTTGCCGTAGACTAGCTTGGTAAATATTGTACGTGTAAATCGTATTTAGTTGGTAAGATGAACTGCTCTATTAGACTGAAACCTTTAACAAGTCAATTCGACCGAGTTTGCAGACTAGACACTTCGAGAGTTGGGGGGAAGGGTGCAATGGAGTGGAATTGTACAAGCAAGAAAAGTGATTTCATCAAGCATAAATTTAAACTTCAACCTAATTTTCTCCATTATCAGTACCTATCAAATTCGTCACTGAATAAGCTTATTGAATCAATCAATTCGGCATCAAATTAGGGATGACAGAAAGATTAGTGGCTGTAGACAGGTTACCAATTCTGATCCCACAGCGCTGGCTCATGTTACTCATACTTCACAGCTTCACTATTCCCCAACTATTGTACCATAGGGGGATTTACGTGTCCTAATGCACATTTTTGACATTGTATTTCTTTAATTATACGAGTAAATATTATGCAAGTTGAAAATATAAAAGAGTGCATCAAGATAAATATAACAAAATCTCACGTGACTATTTTTTTTGTTAACGTATAAACCACAAAAGAGGAAGCAATTCTTTTAAACAAATCTGCAGCAATTTACAATTTAGGAAAATTAGATCATATCCTGCAACTCAGTATAACAAGTTATGCGTTTTATAGAAATGAAAAGGGACAGCTTGTTTAGTATCATCATACAACTGCTGAGTTAGCACTAGAAGAAAAAACAAATACAAGCATGTTCTATCCAATCCTATTCACTAAGCAAAAGACAATTCGATTCTAAGTATAGGAATATAAACATGATTTCTATCGTTAATTTCAAACACGTTCCAGGAACAAGTTTCTAGAAACAAAGTCGGTCTAGTCTCTATAAAATATCGGGTCTTCCAAAAAAACATGTGAGCCCAATCACTTCCAGAGCTTTACACACTTGTCATGACTAGCAGAAGCAACCAACCCTGAGACGGATGTAGCCAATGAAGTAACCTGTCCTTCGTGTGCTACCAATGTCATCGTCTTGTTCTCCGCCATATTCCAAAGTTCCAAGTTCTGGCAAAAATACAATTTGTGAATTTTAATACAGATAAAAAGTTGAAGCCTCTTAACTACATTGAAGGTATATCTGATATTCTAAGGAAAGATTGTTACTAAAGATTACAAAGGGTACTTGCCAAGCGCAGAATGAAAGTTTTAGCTGGAATTTTATGCTAAGATGCCACAAGGCCAATATAGACTCCACCCCCCCCCCCCCCCCCTTTTTCTCTTCCTTTTCTCCCTCCAGCTGATATAATTGCAAAATTCTACTGTCAAATCTTGCTGTATAAAATGCCTAAATTTGTGGTTCTTAATGCCCGTGCAACGCTATGGCATAGAATAAAGTGGTAATATTACGAGGTGATTGTTTTATGTTACCATAACAAAGGCTGAAATGTTGACACTTCTAATAAATAATTACTCCATGGAAAGTATAGAAATGTTAAAAGTAGAGAAGAGATAGAAACTTGCCTGGTAACACCCTATTATCAAAAGAGAAGAATAAACAGGGTGAAAAACACAAGTGTTGAATTTGTTGCCAGTGCCGGTAAGCTCGTGCACACATCGCCATTTGCTGCTGCCAGAACCAACACTCCAAACTCTAATCATGTCCTCACTTACACATGCAAGAAGTTCACCAGAAGGATCCCAGCAGGCTGAATGAAATTTTTGAGAGTGACCCTGATACCGAATACCGAATAAATTCAGGCAATCAGATTACGCATATTGTTGCTTGTATAATCTTAAGTTCCATATTAAAATTGTTACATTAAAATCTTACATACTACGAAGTAATATTGTAGTAAGGTCAAATGAGCCACAGTAGCATCAGCAAATTATGCTCAGAATACAAGTCGAACCAATACAACCAAATAATAGTGAGAAGAATCATCACCTGTAGTTGCTCTACGACTCTGTATGAGTCCATATCAATTATGTTGACAACCAGCTCTGACACAGCAGCAAGCAACTTGCCAGTACGAGGCTGATATCTGACCTGAACTGTTCCACCCTGAAAAATTGAAAGCAATTTCATAATTCAATAAGCCATTTCATGTGACACAAAAGTATAGAATATGGAGTTATGTCACACTTCATACCTCTATAACCTTAGGACAACTACCATTGTTGATACTCCAAACTCGTATCTCCCCATTTGAATCATTAGAGATCATTAGATCTTCTTTGGTAGGATGGAAGTCTAACGACATAACAGAGGTAGAGTGACCTGTGAAATTCCGTAGCGAGTAGCCAGTCTGAAAGAAGAGATGTTTAAAAATCACATGAGAAACTTAAAAAATCAAACTTTAATAGTGCCAGCAATCTAACAAACCCACTATAAAAAATTTCCTTTATATGATTCAAATAGTAGCAACACTTTCCTAAAATGTGATAGAGATAAAATGACAAGAAATAAGGAGAACATTTGCCCTCTAATTTAATCAATATTAAAATATTAAATTTTAGAAGAGAAGAAAATAGAGATCTTTAAGGCTTGCTGCCAAACTTCCTTGTAACTATTGGTAAAGTGGGTGGGAAATTAGCCAAACAGAATTTATTTAGTGTCCTAGTACAGAAGCAGAATTAAGCTTGCACGCGCATATTCCACCTATCTGCATTAAATCCATGCATAATTTGCATTTTTGCAGAAACAAGAACTTTAAATTAAAATGCATCAATGCAAACTGCAAAAATAAAGATGATGACAGGAGATTTACTGTCCTAGATGTAGTTGAAAATATTACAACTACTAAGCATCAAGAGAGGCCATAAGAAGTAGAGCATGTGTATACTAACATTATCAATATCCCAGACCCTGACAGTTCTGTCAAAAGATGATGTTGCCAGCCGTGACTTTGTTGGACTAAATCGAACATCTGTTATCATATGAGTATGTTCCTCAAGAGTGGACTTTGGTTTTTGAGTATCAGCAAACCACAACACAGCCTGTCAAAAGATTTCAATTTACAATGTTCAACACTCTAAGTCTCTAATGGACCTAACATTTAAAAAAAAACAAAAAATAATAATAAGAAAAAGAGGGGGGGGGGGGGGAGAGATTCTCAAGCAATAACCTTTTTATCATGGCCACCAGTAGCAAGCAGCTTTCCATCTGGGGAGAAGTGACAACAATTGACTTTGCTCGTACTGGCTTGAATAAGGGCCAGTTCCTTGAATACATAACCTAGAATAGTGGAAAACATGTTACTTCCACTCACTGGATGCACCTTAAATGCATGGAACAATGCTTGTGAAAAACAAGTACCTTTGCTGACTTCCATACCACGACCCATATCCCTTGGATCTACCTCTTCATGGGACAAGAATGACTCGACATTATCATCCAAAGTTGCTTCATCACCAAAGCGGTTCATTTCAGCCTGCAATTCCACCACAACATTTCATATATCACATCCAAAAGACATCCACAGCATAAGCTCTATATTCTCACCAAAGAAAACGCAAACCTCCAGTCCTCCACTACTTCCATCAAAAGTTCAATTTAAATATCTAATAAAATCCTAGTTAAACTTGTTGACCAAGCAAAACTTTCAAGATTCAACTAACAAGGTCAAGTTGCCATATCTAAACCATTTTCAATTGCCTACCAATGACCTCAACAGCTCCTTCCTCCAATCTAATTCTTGTAATTTTGACAAGAAATAGAAGCTGCTTACCATTTGATTTGGGGCTGATGTGAGTGTACCCACACTATCAGAGCCAAACACAAGAGAGGGCTTCGAGGAACAACCATTGTGAGGTAAATTTGGCATGGACATGACATCCCCTGGTGTGTGCGCTGATGGTGTAGAAGGTGCTGAACCGGGGGAAGGGCCTGCAGTATTTGCAGTACCTGAGCTATTAGCAGGACCTGAAGAATTTGGCTGCTGCTTTCTCTTCCTCCCTATTTGACCTTTTGGTGCCTGCTAAAAAAACAATTAGATAATGGAAGAGAGTGGAGGTAACAATGCCCTTTGAAAGCATCAATAAGGTAGGTCTGAGAATAGAATAAAATTAAATAAAATTGTAGTTGCCATTAAAAAAACTCAAGATCATGCTTGGAAAACATGTTTATCTGAGCTCAAAACCAACAAGGGCTATCCAATTTCAACTGTTCAACTAATAATTACCAACTTTTCTAACAAGTTAAGATAAGTTCATATAAGGTCTAAATAAGTTAAGGTAGAATTTAAGTGATTGCTCAGATAAATGAAGAGAATGCACCCTAATATGTGATGCAGCACAGTCATCTAATGTTCAACAACAACGTCAACAAGACAACTTCATGAAGAATTTTTATAATATAGATTCTGCATAGCCTCTGAGCATCATTCATACACAGCAATGAAATATTGTGTAGAAATCCCAACTTTGAACCACAAAATAACAAACCTGATCGTTTCCCCGAAATGAATTAGGCATACTGGCATCCATTGTCATGCTGGCAGAGCCCATTTTATCAGGCTGGTTAGAAATCTGAGGTGACTGACTAGAGAGTGCATTTTGAGGATTTTGTTGTTTAGGTTGGTTGTTTGATTGCTGTTGCTGCAAAAAATTCATATGTTAATATAACACACCAGGAACCCAATGCAATAATGCATAACTTCAAGTATAAACCTTCATTAGCATATCAGAGTCCCCTCGAGGCAAAACTGGACAACCAGCTTGTGCTGGTGAACCAACGTTTGGGACAACTTCGCCAACGCTATTTAGCTGTCCATCTTTCCCAAGACTCACATTTCTGTTGTTATTAAGAATCATTCTCCTTCTCGTCTCGAGATCCATGGATGATGGGGAAGCCAGGTTCTGTTGTGCTTGCATGAGAAGGTGTTGCTGCAGCTGAATATGCTGCATAGGCTGAGGTGACTGATTCACAGATTTTTGCTGAGGAAGAACCCCAGGTCGCAGCGGATCAAAATTCTAAAAATCATAACCACATGGCATAAACAAGTCAACAACAGCAGCCTACAACATGAAGCATAATATTTCAACTATTTACGGTAAGACTGAAACCTATAAATCATGAGAGGGACCTTTTACAAAATAATATGAAATATAGCATATTAATAATGACCACATTGACCAGTGCATAAACAGTTTCATTCTTGGAGCACCAAGTTAAAATCCTGTGGAGACATGGAAGAGAGGAAAAGTAGCAGAAAAGAGTGCCACTGTTTATGAAACAAGAAAGTGCACATCAAATCGTCCTAGCTAAGTTCAGCTATCAATGACTGCTTCCCCCCCCCCCCCCCTCTGTTTGGAGTGATATCCTTTCAATAATCATGAAAGGCTATGTAAAACAAGCACAGTGGCTTCCAGTGGATGTGAGCATACAGTCAGCTTGAAATGAAACACGAGAAGAGCCAATGACACATGTATTATTTGAATTTAAAGATTATACAGAATCACATTTCTAACTTTAAGAATACAAACGAGAACATGTAACAGATCGATTGATTATTTTAAAAAGAGTGAAGAACATTAAGATGACTTACACCCATTGGTAGTGGCCACCCTTTTAATGTCAAATTGTTACCACCTTGATTTGATCCTGCAACATATGCATCTAATTATCATGATAAACCACACAAGTAACAAAAATAAATCACCAAAATCAAAGCTAGAGAAATAAGAAAAAATAATATTCCCCAAGTCCCTCCAACCAAACATAAACTTCCACTTAGATATACCAAAACGCTCAAAGATCACAAATAAAAATTTCTATCTCCTAAGAAAACAATTACGAATCGAATCACAGATATGAAGCTTTAATTTTTCTTGTCATCAACAAGACAACAACCAAGCACATGACATTTAGTAATCTCAGGCTGAAAATGTTCAATACAGAAGGATTAAATTAGTCTAAATCATCATACATGTACTACACATGTCACATAGTACGTTAGTAGAGGGATAAAGTCCTTGAAACAGCAGGTGCATATCAACTCACATATTCATGTAATTAATTGGAATATCTTCATTCAAATTTCCCATAAAAAAGTAACATGAATATTAAGAACATACTGAGACACCAACCTCTAGACTCTTATGCTTCAAGCTTTCTAAATTTAAAAAACATACCAGGTTGCATAGTGTCCTGTAAAAAAACTAAATAACTTACCAGGAACACCCATCAACGACCCTTCTGGACCAGGAGGACCACCCGCTCTAGCACTAATCATGGGATTCATCTCAGGTTTTATGTCCTGTACCAAAAAGAGATGTGTATGAGCACTATTAAATCGAGAAGACAGTTTGGCAAGGCCACTCAGTCTCCGCAAAATAAAAAAATATATATATAAAAAGGAACGTCAGAACTCAAGAAGCCTTGATGATTATGAGAACCCATACATACTTGTATAGAATGGGGAAGTTGTGGGCTCCGACTATGATACTGAGGAAGATTCCCTGACATACTTCCAGGAGTCCCATGCATTTGCCTTAAGAAGTAGACACTCGATTCAATAGCTAATATAGGAGTACCAAGAAACCAATGAGATGAGCAACAACAAAATTGAACATAATTTACCCTTGATGCTGGCCACCAATTGAAACTGATTTCAGCATTGACGCATGATTTGGATCCAGGAGCTGGCCTACATTATCCCCAAACCTTTGCTGAAAAAAATAAGGGTCTCACTTACTGACTGAAGTTGGGAAAAAGAGAGACCTTCAAGAATTTCAGAGACAGCAAAGGATATCACAAAGTTCACTATACAATTACCTTCATGTCATCTGATGCTTCTCTTTGAATTGGCAGCTTTAATTTATCCTCATACATCTTTGCAGCCATAGCACTAGCACTTCCAGGTTGTCTCATATGAGGATCAGAATTTGTAATTCCATTGGCATTGCCATTCATAAGTTGGCCTCCATCTCTCCGCGGTTGCTGCTGCTGATGCTGTTGCTGCTGCTGTTGATGATGCTGTTGTTGCTGTTGTTGTTGTTGTTGCTGCTGCTGCTGTTGTTGTGCCTGCCTTTGTAACATCATCTGCACATGCATCTGCTGTTGTGATTTTTGCAGTTGTTGCTGTTCCCTTGCTTTGGACATTTGAGTCTGTCATTTAGAAGCAAAGATAAAACATTAATCAACCTTCAAAATGGATGAAAAAAAGCATACATTATCCATTACTACGAGGTGTGAGAATCCTGTAATCCAGCCTTTGCCGCTTAGTTGCCTCTATGGACAGGGAAAATCTCCTAGTAGAAACTTGTTTATTGTGATACATTATTGGTGATTATCTAACACCCAATATTTGTACTACAAAATAAAATGCTTTGGTACTGTAGTTGTTGTAAAAATCTACAAGGAAAATGAAGAAACCATAGATTTATATAAGAACCTTCAAGCTTACAAGAACATGCAAACACATTCTAGCCATAGTCCATGAGATCAATGTTTCAGTTCTCAGCTTCTTATGTGGCCCAAAATTAGTAGAGCAGTGTGTGCAAAGTTGTCCTTTCAAGTACATTTACCCTCCCACCACCACTCTAAGAGAAACAAGCCTAGGCCTAGACTGCGTCTTAATCTCTTCCAGGGAGGAAAATAACATCATTGGGGGGTATTGTCTTTCAGTGCTTATAAAATTGAAACCTTATTGAACCCGCCCCAACAAAAGACCAGCAAGAGATCTATGATTCTATTCTAGGGCCAGGCAATTTCCATATAATTCAAAGATATTGATTCTTTATTGACAATGAATGGTAGAAGGGAGCATTATAGTAAAACAGGGGCACCTGCCACAGTTAGCTTCAATCTTATAGTTAGAATGAGTGAGACTCTAAGCATATTTCATCCATCTTCAACAAAATTGAAAAGGAGTCACTAGGGGGCTAGTTATAACCCCTCCCTCTAGCAAGAGTTTTTCTGACTCTTCTTCTAGTTATCGAGGGCCCTGGAACAGAACTTAAGAGACTCTAAGTTCACCGCAAAACTTTCTTCTAAGGAGCTAATCTGTTAATATCAGTGACAACCGTTGAACTGCAGTACTTTTGGACGTTTAGGTTTTCCATTTGGTCAAAATCCAAAAAAAAAAAAATCACTTACTGAAACACTGAGTACACTTTTACAAAAGCAGAATTCAAATCAGTGAAATACAAATTTAAACTTTCAGATCAATTATTATACTGTACACAACATAGCCCCTGAATCCCAGATTGAAGTTCCGACAAATGAATTTTCACTAGAAACAAAGATAACGATAAACTACCTAACCCCTTTCTAACCTAAATCCATGAAATCTAATATTTCTATATTACCCCCATACAGTTTGTAAAAGAGGATAAAAAAAACCCTTCAACACTAGACGAGCTAAAAATCACACCTCAATATAAGAAGCAGCAGCATCTGAGTGTTTTTCATTAGTCCTTGCAATGAATATATCCCAAAATACCGACCACCACTCGAAGAGAAACCCGCCAGGAGCATCAATTGCTACAAAATCAAAAGAAGGGAACACCAAGCCAAGAACAACAATTAAAAGAGGCGTATTTCAATATTCAGCATATATAACTTTCTTGAAGCTACACTTACCAACAGGGTCTGTAGATACTTTTCCCTCTTGCTGAAAAGCTTTAGCAGAAGCATGTAACTTCCTCTTTACAAAGTAATCATGTATATATACATCCAACCTGTCACCCAAGCAACTACCAAGTAATAAGACTCATCATACAACCAACAATGGAAACAAAAAACAAATCAAAAATCTGTAAAAAATAAGCAACAAATTCTTAGAAGCCCTAAATTTTATTTTAAAATCAATAGTACAATCCAAATTTGGTTTCATTTAATTGGGTTGTCAAATTCTGAAATAATACTCCATATTATACCAGCCCTTAAAATAATCCCCACAAAATACAAGCCCTAAATTTACTTTACAATCACAAATAAACAACCATTAAAAAATTCACAACAAATTCAGATTGAATATCAGCAAAAAAACACAAAACCTAACAAGAAATTCAATCAAAAAACTTAATTTTGACCATACCCATTAACCCCAACTCAAAATTAATGAAAAATCATGAGCTTAATTGACAAAAAATACCCAATAAAAGATTCAATCTTTACCAATTAATACTGGTTGGAAGCAAGAACCCAATAAATTGATGAGAAAGAAAATTGAATTTCAGCATAAAAAACTTACATTTTATCGGCTTCCCAGTTAGTCTGCGATGACTGAGACATAGTTGAAAAGCTGAGAATCACCAAGCTTCAATTTTTTTTTTCTTTTTTGTTTTTTGCAATGAAATTAAAGAGTAGTATTGTTGTTTAGTTGAATACTAGAAAAAGGTTTTATAGCAAAGGCAGTATTGTTCTGCTTCTTAACACGGAAAGTTCTTCCTATTTGATTACACCTTATTTATAGGGATTAACAATCTTATTTCTTTTCGTATTTTCTCCCCTTTTTTCTTGGACTGAAATCGAGTTGACTTGCTCTGAATTTGGTTCTTATAATACTTTGATCGTCACTATGATCTTGTTTTAGAAGGTTATTTATGTAATTTTACTTAATAATCGGTTAGCCTAACCCTAATTAGGTCTCAATGCTCACGGGTTTTTTTAATCCGCTATCAAATTGTATCAAACCTTAACCTTTGGGATTTGCGGTTTTGCTTGGTAATCGACTAATTAAATAATGTCATGAAGATTTTTGGGTTTTTATGTACGATTTAAATCTTTTTTCAATCCTATGCAATGCATAAAGGTAAGAAATATTAAAGTAGTCAACTAACATCCGATTGGATCAAACAGTACTTGATTTAGTGATAAGGATTGTGATTGGTCTAATTGTAATAGTAAGGACCAAGTAGTATTAATCTTCACTAGCCCCCCCCCCAAAGCCTAGGGGATTATTGCCCACTAAGGGCTTGTTCTGATTTACAGAATTCATTTGAACTGAGCTGAACTGAATATTTTATAAGAGAAGAAAATTAAGAATTGAACTGAACTAAATTGAATTGAACTAAACTGATTAGAGCTGAACTGAACTGAACTAAACTGAAAATAAGCTGAAGAGAATCAGCCCTAACTTGAGTTAATGACGTCCTGATCCAATACAGCACCTTTTAACATCAAGATAGTATGATATCTAAAATTTCCTATTTTAAAATATTAATTTTAAGGAAATTATAATAATAGGATCGGATAGAAACGCGTAAATATTATAACAATAATACGAGTGGATAAATACGTGTATATGGATATTCTATTTTAAAATATCGCTATGAATTTATGACAATACTAAAGTGGGTAAACATGTGGCACCATGATATCCAACATTAGTTAAAATATATGATGACCCTTTTTTTAGGATCAAGGAGTGGAGGGATGGTTAGTGCCTCCAATTCCCCCGATGTGACTAGAGTTTGATCCTCACCCCCACCCCTCCTGTGATGATAGGAGGGGCACCCTCGTATCTTACCGTATAAAAAAATGATGATATTTTTAGAAAAATGGACTTTTATGAGGGAGCTAGCACAAGTGTGCGGACCACCATTGGGGAGACTAAAGAGTTCTCAATTACAATTGGAGTTCATTAAGGTTCTACACTTAGTCCTTTTCTTTTTGCTAAAGTCATGGACAAAATTGACGAATTTGATTCAAGATGATATACCATGGTGCATGATGTTTGCTAACGATATCGTATTGATTGATGAGACGAAAGAAGGTGCGGAAAGTAAGTTAGACTTAGCTTGTGGAGACAGACATTGGAGTCATGCGGCTAGAAGGTGAGTAGAAGTAAGATAGAGTATTTGGAATGTAAGTTTAGCGGTGCGGGAAACGATGAGGCAAGGGTGATCTCCTTGGATGGGAATATTGTCTGCGTGCAATCTATTTTTCTAAAGGATGGAGAATTAAGATGTAACTCATAGGATTGAAGCAGGTTAGGTGAATTGGAAGAGTGCAATGAGTTTTTTATTTGATCCCGATATATCCTATAGATTAAAGGGAAAATTCTACCAAATGACAATAAGGCCTGCTTTTTTATATGGTACAAAATGTTGGGCCCTTAAAGCATTGTCACGTGCATAAGATGAATGTGGCAGAGGTGCGTATGTTGCGATGGATGTGTAACCATAGAATAAAGGATTGGTTGATGAATAAGATAATAAGGAAGAAAGTACATAGGGGTTAGATCGATTGAGTACAAGATGAGGGGGAATCGCTTAAGATGGTTTAACCATGTAAAAAGGAGACCAAGTACCACTCTAGTGAGGAGACTTAAAGAATTACAAAGTAGAGGTACCGAAAGACTTAAGAAAACTTGGAATAAGGTGATTGAGAGTGACATGAGTACTTTCGGTATTGGGAAAACTATGGTGTTGGATAGGGCGGTATGAAGGGAGAAAATTTATGTCAATGATGTGTTGTTTTTTATATACTTTCTATATTTATTTTTGTTTTTTTATTTTACTATTTTAGTCCACTAATATTTTATGAATTGCATTGCTTTTCTTTCCTAAAATTTTCACAACCCTTTATGTTTTTTTACTCCAACGTTTAAATCACCTTTAAAACTTTCTTGAACTTTATTCTAGGTTCCTTTTAAAACTCCCTTGATTTTTCTTGAACTCTTTTCCATATACTTTCATTTGCTAATATAACTTTACTCACCTTTTTCAAGCTCTTTCAAGTGATTATTTTGCTATGTCCTTTCTTTATACCATATGATTCCTTGTGAAGATTCATGTTAACCGACCCCAAGTCATTGGGACTAAAGCTTTGTTATTGTATATGTAGGTTTTGTTTTTTTTTTTTTTTATTGGAGGTATTTACTTGAAAAAAAAAATACCAACATGTTAAAAAAATCGTAATTAGAATTTGACAAAACTTTGTAAGCAATGGGTCAAAAATACAAGAGAAGTACTCCAATATCATTTAATTTCAATCTCGAGGTGAAAGTTGTGAACTTGTTCTTCACCCCCTACTTTGAAATCTCAAAACGCAATGAGGGGAATGGGAGGAAGAAGCAAAGGAACAACATCACCATTTCGATTTCGAGTACCTAATATTAATTAAATAATTTTACCTAAACAAAATTCATTATTCTCGACGGAATAATTAATGGAATGTGGAAAAAAATGGCTCCTAGATTTGGCCATTTTCGACAAAGAAAAAGACTCCTCTGATTTATAATGAGATAGATTTCTCTATTCCTTGAAATCATCCTTGTCATCAGCAGGAATGGGCATGTTTCTCCAGTAAACAGCGAGAGCACTACCACCGACCTGTAAAGGCCAAAAGAGGGGAACAATGGCTCAGTTTGCTATATACAAATAGACAATGACTTAAAATATAGAGACTTGGCACAGAAACTCATACCGCCATGAAAACCACGCTCACAGCAGAAGGGACAGCAACAAGTGGGTTTGTGAAATGTTTTTGAGCCAGCAGAAACCCGAGTGCAGAACTCTGAAACATGCATGTAGAAAGATCAACTTAATTAGAATAGTTCTTTTCACCTTACGAATAGATTTGAGTTTTCACAAATACCTAAGTATCTCTTCCAAACAAAAGAGCCCTAGTTGTATTATACTGGGTACAGATGAGTTCAGACAAGGGTCAACAGTTCAAATAAAGGCCAAAAATAGCCAAGGTATTGGGCTAATCAATTTCGGGTAAGTTCATATAGGAGTTCAGGTGAGTAGAATGAAGCCTTACCTCTACCCCTAGTCAATTTATATGATGTATATAAAGTATGTTTCAGGTATTAAGCAAGTTCAGAGCAAAATTCAATTTTTATGTTATGTACCATATGTCAATCAGCAGATCAAGAATAAAGTATGTTGCATTCAAATTGAAATATTAAGCATAAAACATGATGGCAAAAGAATATCACTGTCCACGATTGAGTTTCAAGAGTTTCAAGGAAAAAAGGGAGAAGCAACTTGCCTGCATCCCACATTCTATAGATATAGTACGAGAAGTGGATTCACCGAATGATAATTTGGAGACAAAGTAACCAATTGCAAAGGCAGCAGCATGCAAGAGTGCAACTGGCAGAATCAGCTGCGGTCCTTGTGCTTTCAGGACACCTGCAACTTGTCCAATCTAACACATAGGGATAGAACGAGAGTTGGCTTATATGATGTCATCAAGGTACAGATAAAGAAAAAATAAAATTACATGTTGGAAAAACTTACAGGACTAGCACAAAGCAAGGTAGTGAGGATCACTCCAATCAGAGGTGTTATTGTGATGATCTTTGCAGTAAACTTGGGGAAAAATTCATTCGCCAGGACTGCATTAAAGTGGAAAGCAATTAACTGATTTGTGTATTTTTCATACATAAAGGGACCAAAACAAGTCACAACAGCCACCATATAATCTTCATTTCTAGGTCCTTGATAAATCAATGATTAATCTACTTAATATGAAAGTTATTACACCAATCGTCATTCTGAAGGTCTTTTCACTTGGGAATTAGTTTAGGGGATGGCCCTCAACCATATAGCAGCGTTTTATGCAGGGCTGGGAAGGTCATGCCTGAGATGAGTATGCTGATGGGACTTAGTATATAAAAAGTACAACACAATGCAGTATGACTACTGCCATAGGTGTGATCTAGGGTGGCCAAATATGCACGCAAACTTAGCCTTGACCTGCCAAAACTAGCAAAGAGGCTGTTTCTGAACCACTAAACCCCTGCTAATGTCATCATGGATACCCAATTAGCCATACTCGGCAATAGAACTTCAGCCCATTGGCTATCATACTATGAATTGCAAATAAAAATCTATCATAAAAGATAAAGAAGGTCAAACACCATCTTCAAATTACCTCCAATAATTGTCGGTACCAAGACAACCTGGAAAGTGCTCAGAGCCAGACCCTGGAAAGAGGAAAACAATTGAAAAAATTTCTCAGTGATGACCAACACCGACACTTAGCATGCACACATACTTACAACATTCATAAACCTAGGCTCCTCATATATGAGAGTTACCAGTGCTCAAGAATTGCTAGATCTTTATTCAAAAAAAAAAAAGAATTACTAGATCTTTATTCAAAAAAAAAAAAAAAAAAAGAATTGCTAGATCTCCTCTCTCTTTCAGTAATACAACAACATTAACAATTGATTAATTTTCTCTCAGTGATAATAACTACATTATCAATATAAATAAAAGGGAATGGTAGAGCTATAAAAACGAAGGCAGTAATTTGTATATCCTTACTTTCTTTCTGTCCTATGACTCCTGTTTGTCTATTCCCTGTAATTTTCTCTTTATAGACACAGAGTTATAATATTTAATTGACTTATGGCCTCATATATCATTTTTGTCTTCGTTTTCTTACTCTTTCAAGGTTAACTTAGGCCCTTCCATTTAGTACAGCATCCTCACACCCATAACAATACCAATTTTTTTTTATTTTGTTTTGTTTTTTTTTTTTTTTTTTAAATCGAATAATTGTGATAGACAAACAACCATTTTATGATTTAAGCATGAGTGGACTCACAGCTGCATCAACAGGGACCAGTTGGCCAGCTAGAAGCTTAGTGAGAAGTGGAGTCATAATAATAGCTCCAATGGTTGAACACCTGCATATATCACAAAAATGTTACAGCTGCATATATCCAATAGTCCCAAATGATATCACAAAATATTAAAATGATTAAATACAGAATGAGAAATTAAAAGGATAACGTTTAATGTATATATATAAATAAGAATCTCGCTGCAAGTTCATGGTGTGTAAGTGTGATATCGTAAACCAAAAATGTCATTGGGTGTCAACATAATTTACAAGTATTATTAAGTAATACTTAACCAAATGCAGACTCAACTTATGTCCTAAAGCTTATTCATAATACAGGTTTATCCCACAGATCTTTCTCAAGCTCAAAACGCTCCCCAGGTACATAAACAAACTGAACTTACGTTGTCATAAGAACTGAGAGTGCAACATTTCCTTTTGATATATAGGTTGCAACATTTGATGCCTGGCCTCCAGGGCAGCATGAAACAAGAATCAGACCAGTCGCAAGAGGTGCGGACAATTTCAAAGTCTGTACAAGAGATCAATGACAATCAGTGAAAGTAGCTTATATTGTGTTTATTAAACCAATATCTTATGGGAATACACTCCCTCAATCTAATAGCACAGACTCACTATTAGGAAGAATAGACAACAGTATTATAAAACCCTGAGGTTACAAAAATTTATATAAACCAAAATCACTTCATAAATAAGGTCTCACAAACATCGAGTATAAGGTATCTAAAAATCGACATAATTGATAGATACCACAGTAGCTTAATATAAACAACGCAATAAGGCACACCTGCCATGTGAAATAACTCATTGCAAGAAGCGGTTTGCAAATACATATTACAGAACTCATTCAACAATCAATAACATGTATACACCTAGTAAAATTGCTATCATATTTCAATTTTGTTTCATCTAAAAGCAGATTCATTTATCATCATAATACACCATCCTTAGAAAGTGAGTTTTATAAAACCTATAGAAGGGCATCAGATACTTGGAATGTGGATCTAGACGTACCAATGCAATTAAGAACCCCAGCATAGGCTTGATCATATATTGTGCTAAGAAACCAACTCCGACCTGCAAATTGAGAGAAGGGGGGGGGGATTAGATTGGTTACCACCATTTACATCCTAAAAGTAATTATAGATGCTTGAATGAAATGAAAATTATTCTTACAGTCCATGGATTCCGCAAACACCGTTTAAAATCATCAAATGTTAAAGTCAATCCCATTGAAAGCATGAGGAAACCCAAACCAAGAGTAAAAAGATCTGTTTCTAACCAAGTTACCTGCAGGAGAAACCCCAATAAAGGTCACTATTAAAAATATAGAGAAACCCCATAACAGTCACTATACAAAATTATACTTGTACTACATTAATAATTACATTTATGCCTTAACAGTACTAAAGTAGCACAAGACAGTGAATTTAGCAAGTTTACCGCAGCAGGTTTATAGATGCCAATAAGTGTTCCCAGTATGACCTGTGTAATAGATTGCACAACCACAGTCAAGTGTTCGATCAATTTAACATCATTTTTTTGAAAGAAATTAAATAAATGTCACAAACATATAGCTATATATACACCCAATAAGACATACCCAGACAGGAAACAAAGTTGTCAAACCCTCAATAATCTTCTCATACTGACTCATTTCCTTTACGACACTGCTGGGAACATCTCCAGAGTAGTCTGTTGCTGCCTTGCACAGAAATAAGGAACTCCTACACCTGCAGCCAATCAAGTGTCATAACGGTAACAGGTGCAAGAACAGAACACTCAAATTCAAGACCAGTCCTTAATGTAAATCAAATGGCAGCCTGCTATTTTACAAATTTCAACCTTTATCAAGCTAATGATACTTGCTATTCAAAAAAAAAAAAAACGCTAATGATATTTAACTAAAGCATTGATGTAAACACTATGGATAACAAAATTCAACCAAGACAAAGATAGATAATGCTACGAAAATGAGATACTTCCCCTCTGTTTGTAAAAGCTCTTACTGTTTTGAATCTTTTTGTGAGACGATCACCGTCCAAAAAAGAAAAACTTTTACAGATGCAAGTTATTTGCCTGATAAAGTCAATGCATAATTTCAAGACAGATAAAAAAGCAAAAAAAAAAAAAAAAAAAAAAAAAAAGTAGATGTTGATTGATTTTTTTTAAAAAAAATAAAATAAAACGTGCATTAAATTTCTAATATTGGAACATGAAGCAAATCAATGCCCACAACAACAACATTTTACTCCTTCAATATATAATCTCAAGCAAAATCCGGTCTCCAATAGGGTAGTAATATGCAATCCATGATCAATCTCATATACAAACACCATTTTCTCCATATCTTCACCCTCAAATGACATCATGTCATCCCAATAAGATTCACATTCCAAAAACAAAGTACATTGCAAGCTCAAAAAACTAAGGTTCCAAACAACAACCTCCAAAAACAGGACCACATCTTACATTAGCATAAGGTTAGTTGGTTGCACAACAAATAATCAATATACTACAATTTACAATCCTCAAATACTCAATAATTTACAATCCTCAAATTATAGGACCCTTGTATTTTCTTTTCATCAAAGCTTACATAATTTTCACAGCATAGAAGAATACCTTGAAGGGTGAACAACAATAGGATTCAATGACTTCTTTTGGGAAGTAGCAAGACAAGTCATTTGAGTTTCAGGTGAAGATAATCCATGTCTAAAATCTGTTGATCAAAACAACTCAAATTACATTATACTACAACATAATAAATCATAACTTGCAAATTCCAAAGCAAATAAGAACAACCCAAAATTAATAAAATGAAGCAAGACATTTTCCAGAAATCAAACATACCCAAATGAGATTGGACATTTCTTGAAGAAAAATAAGAATTGGGTCTGTAATAAACAGCATCATTAAGCTGAAATTTACAGTCTTTTAACACGCATCTTGACATAGACGCCATTGAAATAATTCAAATTTTCTCAGAGATAAGAAAAAACCCAAATAAAAACAAGCAAGATGATGGGTTTTAGAGGGAGGTTTAGGGTATCATGCTATTTTTGCCAAGTTGGGAAATTATTGGTGGGGTAAACAGGAGTAAAGAGTGTTGCAAAGCGTTAAAATGGGAGATTTTGAGATAACGAGGACACTGGAGAACCACAAATAAGGAGGCTAAGAGTCATCTGAAGATTACAACTTGGACTATCAAAATCGGAGAGTTATGATTTTAATGAAACTTGTGAAACTGGTCCTTGATTTGCTAAAATCACTATCTTTGATAGATCTACCTAAGGTCTAGCAACAAAAGAGGCAAATTCTTGTACTTGAACTTTTCGGCTAATGGCACAAAATTGGGGCATATTGTTTGCAGCTTAATTTCACTTTAGTTCAGCTTTAATTTGTTCACTTCAGTTCCTAATTTCCTTCTCTCATAAACTATTTATGTAAGCTTTATTCAGTTTAGTTTAGTTGTTTTCGGTATATCGGAACAAGCCCTTGACGTTACCTGACATGTGTGGTCTCTCTTTATATTTATCACATTTGTCAATGTAACATAACTTTCAACATCATAAACATCATGTTGAAACCCATAGTCCACTTGTGAGTGAAGAGGAGAGGTGTTTTCACTTTATAAGGTAGAGGCGTAAATCCTATTATTGATAAATTGTTTTAGTATAGAAGCTCTTACACCTAGTTTGTGGACCAAACTCTTCTCCTCCTTGTTCGGGTTGCCCAAGCTCATTTCATATTGTTTCGAAATTTAACACATCAATTTGTAAATGTTGTTGATTATTATAGAGTTTTGTGATTCACGAGAAGAATACACTACAAAAAGACATATTGTGTGATTGTTTGTAGGAAAGGGCAACTCGATGAGTTGTGCCTAGGTCAATTTGTGTTAATCATTCCACACCAATAAAAATTCCATGTATTTGGACGTGATTTTACTCGAGTTAAAAAAGGTGATCAATAAAAATTCAGTACTCCTATCTTAAGCTTCAACCGATTTAATCTTAAGGGCCTGATTGACTGAACTGAATTCCTGTTCATATTTACTGAACTGAACTGAAATTAATATTTTATGAGAGAGGGAAATTAAGAGCTGAACTGAACTGAACTGATTATAGCTGAACTGAACTGAAATTAAGTAAATGTGAACAGGTTCTTAATGAGAGAAGGAAATTAAGATAAGAACTGAACTAATTGAAGCTGAACTAAACTGAACTAAACTGACCTGAACTAAACTGAAAATAAGCTGAAGAGAACAGACCCTTACTTCACACACTTATTCTTACGAATGAAATATAGCCACACACAAGATCTAGCCAATTAATTAACATGTCGGGTCAAAATGTGCTCACAATTTAGGCACCTCAAATTTCAAAATCACAACACCACCACAATGAGCCCATATAAATATATACTTCGGACTTCGTAATACCCAAGACCAACAATAGCCCATTTCTCTTACATGTCACTGAAAATATCTCATTTTATATTTTTATTTTTAAGTTTTTCATAAATATAAAAGCATAAATAACTCCACTCTACCTACTGACGCAATCCTCTTCTTCTCTCTCTATCTTCTTCCTAACCTCTGTAAACCCTAATTCTCTCTCCTCCCTAAAATCTTCCTCCATTTTTGTTCTTCAAGATCCGTCAATGGCGGAAGAAGAGGTTGTTGCTGTGCTCTCTGAAGCTCCTATCGATCACCACCACAAACGTAAGCTCGAAGATATGGAGGAACCTTCTCTTGACGAAGCGGCGCCTGATTCTACTGCCGAGCTTGACGGCGAACACAAGGAGACTGTTGACGCTGAAAATGGCGGCGAAGAACCTTCTAAACGTCTTCGTTTGGATGAACAACCTGATTCTTTAGGTTTGTTTTTTTTTTTTTTTTTTTTTTTTTTTTTTTTTTTTTTTTTCTCTTCATTGCTTTTTTTTCGTGTTGAGGAATTTTTTTTGATATGTAATTTTTACATTGATGATGATCAATAGCAGATTGTTTAGGTTTGATTTTTGCAAAGGGTTTTGTCTGAAAATTTGCTGGATTTTTCTTTTGATTGCTGTTTTCATAGGAAATTAATTTAATCAATGTTATTTTGTTCTGAATTTGATGATGTTATTAGAATTTATAGTATTTAATATGCTCATTTATTTTGGAATTGATGTTTTTGACATTGGTGTCTTATACGTTGTTTGGGAAATACAGCAAGTGAGAACGGACACAAGCCGGAGGAGGAGAATGGGAATGCTGTGGTGGACGCCGAAACCGAGGTAGCTGGTGAGAGTACCGAAGCGGCTAATGATGATCGGGAAGGTGGCGAGGAAGGCACTAAAGAGGTGGTTCCTGAAACGGAAACCGCGGTTGCTGAGGGTGAGGAACAAGTTGATGCCAAAGATGGTGATTCGGAAGAGAAGGATGCTGAAATACCTTCCTCTGAGAATGTTCCGAATGAAGGTGTGGAAACGACTGCCACTGAAGGTGGAGAACAGGGTGATGTTGCGGCTGAGCAAAAATATACTGATTCTGGCAGTAAGAGCATGACTCGGAGGATTGAGATTCCGAATAATAAGGTGACTTTGAGTAGCTTTTCTTTGTAGCGTACCGTTTATTGCTTTCTCCGTATTATTTGACTGGAATGAGTGATCATGTTTTAGTATTACTGGAATGAAATTGGTCATTATTTCTTAATTTTACCTAAAAGAGTATTCAACTTTGGTAGGAGTGATTGAGAGCAGTTAATTTGGTGATGAATTTCAATTATGATTCTGCAATGTTTCAGGTTGGAGTTCTTATTGGAAAGTCTGGAGATACGATAAAGTATCTACAGCTGAATTCAGGGGCCAAAATTCAGATCACAAGAGATGCAGAAGCTGATCCGCGATCTGCAACTAGGCCGGTTGAACTTGAAGGGACACTTCAAAGTTTAAACAAGGCCGAAAGTCTGATAAAAGATGTTATAGCAGAGGTATGGTTGTTGCAAAGATTATTATGTTTTCCTTTGTTTGAGTTTTTTTTTATTTTATTTTTATTTCTACCATGTTTTTTCTAGTTGTGTTGCCAACTAAGATCTTCTCCCTCCATGTCCTCTAATCAAGTGCTGCCCTCGGTGATAGTATGCAATGTATTATTAATTTTTCTGAACTCAGAAATATTGTTGAATATGTACAAGGTGAATTATTTGATTATAAATAAAATTATTATTGATGATCAGTTGTGAATGTAATTAATGGATTATTTATTTATTTGTATCTTGTAGAATTTAGATACAATATATTTATATTATAGGCGTGTTCGATTAGATAGATACCACATAGCATTAAAATTGAGTATAGATTAGCGTTTAAGTTCTTTACATGACAAATAAAAAAAGTTGTGGGTTCAAGTTTTTGTAGTCTCATTTTTATTATAGGAAGTGATTGCTGAAGTTACATCATCAAGGATGCAGAGCCTTGTCATCTTTAGAGAGGGATGACATGTGATCACTTAGAATTTCCTTGCTTTGCGGTTAAGGAATAGCATAGTTGAACTTGGAAGCCCTTGTACTTCATTGAAGTTACCTGAACTGATGCAATTTTTTCTTGGTATTTGATGATGAAAATAACAAGGCCTTATATTTGTTTTTAGAGGTTGTATTGATCAATTTAGCTCAAAATTGGAACTGTAGAAAGTTGCATTTAGTCGTGATAATGCACCTACTCTGGCATTACTATATTCAAAGAAGCCCCATCTTTAGGCTGGATAAGGATGTTGTGTTGGCTTTAATATGATATGTGATGACCACTGAATGCTGTCCAGTAGATTAGTAGCTGAGACAATTTCGCAAGGCTGTTTAAATTCAGTCCGTCTTAAGCCAGAGAATGGTTGGTCTCACCTGTTGGAAATTGACAATAAATGAAAGTTTAAGACTAATTGTAGTTTGTCCATGTGTCTAGTTGCTATGGGTCTTCTTTATGCGCTCCCTCTCATATTTGTGGTTTTTTTTTTAAATTATTATTTGAACTCTTTAATTCTTTATGTATTTTTGTTTGCAGGCTGATGCTGGGGGCTCACCATCCCTTGTGGCTAGAGGTTTTACTGCTGCTATTACTTCTGGATCATTAGAAATTGAGATACCTGTTCCCGCTGACAAAGTAAATAAAGCTTTACACTTTTTTTTTTTTTTTTTTTTTTTTTTTTCTCACTTTGTAACTACTTTAAGATGAATAATCTATATAAAAGATTTCAATTTTGAGTTGTCGAAAGCTAAGATTGGGAAATAATAGCCTGTGAAATCTAAAAAGCTAAAATGTGATAACTCTAGTTTAATAAGCCTACCTGAAATTAAACTTAAAAGCTAGCATATTGTAATTGAACTCTTAAAAAATCTTTGAATTTTCTCGTATCAAACTGTCTCAAATTTGCTGGGAGCCTGGGATTCTTGCTTTCTAATTGAATCTTCATTTTTGTCATGCAGGTTGGTTTAATAATAGGCAGGGGCGGAGAGACTATTAGGAATCTGCAGACAAGATCTGGTGCACGCATCCAGGTACCTCACATATACATAATGGATGAATGTACTGACTAAGCATATCTTATTCTGATAATTTGTATCTCCAATAAAATAGCAGTTTTCTTAACTGTACCTCTAATTGTTGCTTGTAGTTGATACCACAAAATCTTCCTGGGGATCAATCTAAAGAGAAAAAGGTGAAAGTTACTGGTGACAAGAAACAGTTGGAAGTGGCCCGGGAACTCATAAAGGAAGTTATGAATCAGGTATTTATGGCCATGATCTAAATATATTGTTTACATAATTATTTAGGAGCTTCTATCTTTGTTTTGGGTGTTTTTGGTTCAATAACCTAGGTTCAAGTGTGGTTTCTGTTCTGTCACATATCTACATCATTATGATTTTATGAGCTAAGATTATGTATGGCTGGCGCTTCTGATACTAGTGTTTCATATTAATTTAGGATAGCATGTCACTCTTGAACCTGTTATTCTTGTTGGCCCAAAACAATAGTTTTCTATTTACACAATGAATTGTTGTGGCAGCTTCCTTTAATGTTGTCAATGTCACAAAGTTTTATTGATTTTGGAGTCTAATTTTAACGTTCAGTTGAAATATCTGTTTTAGTAGTTATTGGAACATATGCTTTGGTACTGATGCACCCTTAGGCTCGTGTTTGTTCATTTGAGAGAAGCTGGGCTTTAATTTTCTTTTTGCTTTTTACACCTAAAGGATGTCATACTATGTAGCCTATATAAGCTGACAACTTGA